ATAATTTTGATAAATTTATTGTCATTATAGTTGAAGATTGAACGATCAATTCTTGGTTGTTTGCTCAAACCCAACTTCCCCAATTTTCGCGGAGGCATCAATACGACAGTCATCGTCTCATCGGTCGCTGTTCAGAAAGAAGTCAGGAGAAAACCGTCAGAAGTAATATTGTGATTTATTATTGTAATATTTGTACACAGACCTTAGTTGTAACATTGTTTATATGTTGGTGTTACAATAAAGAATCCTCGAGTCACCAATTGGTGTTTTGGTTTTTGCGTCCGTTATTACTAAGCGTTTCTGAGAAACTTCAAGGAACAGCGTGAGCCCGAGTGCAGCAAGAGCTGGGCATTAACAGTTTACGAGACGTGGCTGACATTTGTTTTAAGTCCAAAATAGGACGTATGCATCTTTGCTTGCTAGGCGAATATAACTCAACTACAACTTCTAGACATTTAATGTCTTTAATTAGGATATATATGTAATAACTGATCCACGTTTTTAAGCTGTTATTTCGGTGACCTGTGTGATTTGTGCTTACTGGGTCAGCATAAACCATCTAAAATTCACTAGGTCACAGCAAGGGTACAGAAGCACTGAAATATATACTATTGTTCATTTACTTGAAATCATAGTGTTGTATTTGTTAGGGATTGTTAAATCCATTAAATGTTACAAAATGTTCCTACTGCCTCTACTTCACGAAATGTGTCATCTGTATTGTGTGATAAAATGGCTATATTCGGAAGAATAGTGCTTCCCTGTGTGTTTTTTATACGTGAGTACATTTTAAGTAAGCTTTCAACGCATTTATGGTGCTAACTAAATTGTTCATTATTTCTTTTAAAGGAATCCAACACGTCCTATCGGGCTGCTTCAAGTAAAAAAGACCTGTCCGGTCCTGTGGAATACAAGTTTGTAAGGTATAAATGCACTTTTGGAGGTAAACGTGCTCCCCAAGGTGCTGGCCTTAGGAACAGAGGGTAAGTTGACTGTGTAAATTTTGAAAATTTTAAGGTTCAAAAGTATTTCATGTCAGCCAACAGTTACAGTACGGCGGACATCCGAAGGATATGAGTTAAAAAATGCCAAACTGTGCATAACCATCCATGGACAGAAAGTTACACGTCCACTCATGTGTCTGGATATCGGCTATCATCAGAGAAAATGTCAGTTGCCCCACCATTTATTGAAAGGAACACTGATGTCCATGAAATCATGAATTTTGAGCATGGGAATTTCGGCAAAGTTCTCCTATATTATGATATTAAAATATGCGGGCTACGATAAATAAATGTAATTCGTATCAAAATAAATGATGCAGTGGAATAGAAATTGATAGTTTGGGAGACTTGCTTCATCGACTGAGGCAAACAGGCCCAGTTAGTGTTCTGCAGGACAACGCAGGCCTTGTATCTAAAATCACTTTTGCTCTTAATGATATGATAGACATGTATCATGAGTTTCCAGAAGTAGTTGGAATTGATTGTACCTACAAAACGAATAAGATGGGTAAGTTGCAGTACAAGAAGGTATAATTCCTTCTCCAAATTTATTACAGATGGCCTTTATATCAGTTTGTTGGATTCGGAAGAGGAAGGACTGTTTTGTTTGCTCTTACTAGGAGAGAAACGTTTGGAGATGTCAAGGAGATATTGCAGACGTTTAAGAGATTTATGACTGATACATCAAAAATACTAAAATTCACCGTCGACAGCGCAACTGCACGGATGAACTCTCTAAAGGAGGAATCCCCTAGATACAGTGTTGTTTTATGTCTTTTTCATGTATGCCAGGCATGCAGAAGGAAGGTGAGTTTCATTCCCAAATCAATGTGTTAAGAAGTGGTTGTATCGAATGGCGCACACGCGCAGTTATGACAGATGGGTTAACAATTCAGAATATATTGCTAAAGATTTTGGAGTTACCTAAACCTCACAAGTATTATAGGCAATGAGGCTAGTGCTTACGTTAGAAGAAACTGGCTAAGAACACGCAAATATTGGGCTGCATCGTGCAACTGGTCCACCAACAATACTAACAACAGATTTGAGAATGGTCATGGGCAGCTGAAAAGATATTTACATAAAGGTGATCCGCTGGAACTGACGTTATGGAAAATATGGAGGCGGACTGACCACACAACCATAGGTAAAATACGTCAGCGCCGCTGGATGCTTTGTAAATATGACAATTATGATGTTAGTTTTAAGATAATTTACACTTTTTCCTGGGTGTTTACATCGCTGAAGTCTATATTACGGTGTCCCACACCGTTTGCTGCCAAGAAAGTTTTCATAAACTTGCAAAGGCGCTTTTCTTCTTCCATTCAATATCCTCCACCTTAGTTAATTATGCAGAAGGTGGTCACATCTTCTTTGTAAACAGGAATGAGGCGAAATGCACATGTTGTACATACTGTGCATACAGTCTGCTATGTGCGCATGTCTTTGAGGCTTCCTCGAATTCATATATAAACTGTGGTATGTCCCATTTCCTTAAATGTTACTCTTAGATATTCTGAGAGACAGCGAGAGGTGGACACATTGGTATAGCAACGTACAACATTCCGCGAGCCGTTCGCCTAACACCGGCACCAATAATTGCGTTTCGAAATGCTTATGAATGGTTAAGGTGTCGTCTTATCAGCAAGAACCAAAGAAATCCGGATGACGCACTATGAGAAATAACAGAGTTCACCAGAAGGTTGGACAGTTTGCTAGTAAATGAACCAAAAACAACTTTAAGATTACATCGTCCCCCTGTTAATCGCTTACTTTTGTGAAAACGTTTGTATTACCTTATTGTTTTCGTAAGTATTCATAATGTAAACATGCATGTTTAAACTGCTGTTACACTACCTTTCACTTTAAATGCCTTAGAATTACAGTTTAAAGCATACTATGGTTAATGGTTTCGTAATGGGAACGCATTGGAAGTCAGTTAGAAATTGCACTGATCTGTGCCTTGTTTACTATGTTTTATCAGCCTAAGTTTTCTAGTTCAAAGCATACCCTGAGTAACGGTGACTAATACGATTTATCACTTATACCGTAGCAAATCGAATCTTACAACAATTCTAAACTTATTCTAACCTATTCTTCGGCAATGCCTTTTTATGGTAAACCTGGAAGAAGAACATGGTGCTGAATCAGTATCCATCATGCTGAAAACCAGCACTGAGTTTTAGTCTGTGCCATTAAAGAACCCATTTCAGAACAGAATTTACTCACTATAGAATGTTATAATTATCTCAGAATTAGTGAGATTTAACTCAGAACTATAGTTAGGTCGGGTACCAACATAACAACTGGGAACTCCAGACTAAAAATAAACTTAATAGTAGCATCCAGTGGCGAAAACTGACACACACGCTACAAAATAAGCAAAACATCCAAAAACCTTTAAATTTCAATGGAAAACGAATTCAAAAAACATAAGCAGTTGACGCAAGAACCCATCAAGACCATGAAACAGCCTATAGCACCTTTCACACAATAACATCAGGAATCTCTAAAATATCGCCTCTGTCAGCCAACTCTCAGAAACTGTCAATGTCCAGCTCTTACTACTCTGGACCTCACGCTGTCCCTCGAAGACTTTCAGAAACGATTTGTAATAACCAACGCGAAAAACCAGAACACAGATTGGTGACTCGAGGATCCTTTGTTCTTACGCCAATACGTAACCAACATTATTGCTATTATACACAAGGTCTAAGAATAAATGTTATAACAGTAAATCACGATAGTTTTCTCTCTTCCACCGAACAGCGAACGATGAGACGATGACTCCCGCGAATATATGAAGGAGTTGGGTTCCAGCAAACAACCATGAATTGATCGTTCGATCTTCAACTACATTGACAAAACATTAATTGGAACCCACACAATTATTTATTACAAACATATGTACAATAAATACACCAAATGTTTTGGATTCTCCCTTGACGAGCTACCCTTGAAGAACTTTAGGACTTACAGCAGTACGCCTACGCTCCTTTTCAGGTTGATGATCCAAGTGGAAGACGTCCGGACACAAACAAAATTAACCAACAGATAGATGAGAGATGATACCAATTCAGTATGTACAACATGAACATGTGTACAAAATCACACACCAAGTACGATGGACTGCGCTTCGACGTACTGACCTTGAAGAATTGTAGTACTCACAGCATTATGCCTACAACCCTTCTCAGGTTGACGCCCTAGGTTGGAAAATCGGCAAATGGTTCCTACTCTGACTTTCGACTCTCAGCATCTTCCAGCGGACACAGTTTCCTAATATATTGCACCAACATATCACAACTTGTTCTCACCTCAACCGTCCTCAACAACCCATCACCACTACAGAGTAGCCTTTCTACCACTTCCAAAGGCCATCGACCTGCGGCATATTTATCTGCTGCTTAGACTAAATCACCAACCGTTAAGTTTCTGCACAACTTTTTCCATTGGTCTCTGGTTTGCAGTGTTAGAACATACTCCTTAACCATCTTTTCCAAAAGGTATCTTTCATAAGCCTAGCTTGTTTCCATCTTTTAATCGTAGGTGTTCGTTCCGCTCTCAAATCCTCTATGCCAGGGTTGCCTCTCAATAACAATAATTTATTTGGGGTTAACACATCGAAATCCTTGACGTCATCCCTCACAGGTAATAGCAGCCGGTCATTTAGTATTCGTTCAGCTTCACATATGAATGTTTCCAACGTTTCGTCATTCAAACCCTAACTTTTAATTATGGAGCTTAAAATACGCTTGATAATTCCTATAAGTCATTCCCATAGCCCACCTGTATGGCTAGCATATTGTGGGTTGAAGTGCCACTCGATGTTTCTTTTCAGTAACTATTCATGAACTCTCGTTTTGGGACCTTCGGAATACTCTTTGAGCTCGGCGTGACAGCCAACAAAATTAGTCCCTCTGTCGCTGAACATCATCTTCGGTGCAACTTGGCGATTTATAAATCCACGTAATACTAGCACGAATGAATTATTAGTTAACGTATGAACCATCTCATTATGTACAGCTGTATTTTCAAACAGGTGAATAAACACCCATATCTTTTACAAAGTGTTCTGCCTCTCTTCACTACAAAAGTTCCGAACAAATCCGCTCCGAAATACTCGAATGGATAATTCCCTTCAGAAACTTGCCACGCTGGGAGTGGTGCCATCATCTGCTGTGCTGGACGAGCGTTTCGGAGTTTACATTCCATGCACTTATCAATTATTTTACGGACAGCAGTACCTCCATTCATTATCCAAAGCCCACATCGAATACTTGATAGTACTTGCGAAGTACCCAAATGACCTTCAAGAACATGGTAGTGTCTTATAATGAGATCAGTGACTGGATGGTAGCAAGGTAATAAAGCCGGACGACGGGTCTCATATGACGATTCTAACATTTGTAGACGTCCACGATCTCCAGCGACCTCTTCGGAAACTATCGGAGATAATCTATCTAACCGCGCCTTGAAATCTGCGAAATCAGGACTATCCTCCTTGGTAATCTCACCCCATGCTTCCCACTGAGCATCCCTGAAAATCGCTAACTCCGCATTTCTAATATCTTCGACTCTCAAAGGTCCCACATTCATATTTTCGTATCCCGCAAGATGCATGACCTTTAAATACGTAACATGTCGTGTCAACCACGCAACAGCTTTCAGTAGTTTGTACCAAGAAGAAGAATATTTAAAAAGTGGATTTAAACCTGAATGTCTTTCTTGAGTAGATGTTAAACTGACACTTGTCTTAAACTCCAAGGCACACTCGTTTATCGGTGGTTCATCTTCTCTACTAGGCCACATACTATCAGCCCTTAGCAAGAACTCCGGACCTTTCCACCACTTATTTTTAACAACATTCATATCAGTAACTCCTCGCGAGGCTAGATCAGCTGGATTTTTTCCAGACGGTACGTACCTCCACTGCTCAACAGTTGTTAGTTCTTGAATTTGAGATACTCTGTTAGCTACAAAACATGCATATCTTGCTGACTCGTTGCGTATATAATATATCGCAGACATCGAATCAGTCCAAAACGTTACGGGATGCTTGGGGTAATCCAACTCTCTACACACCGTTGTGAATAACTGCGCAGCTAGCAGGGCCGCTGTGAGTTCTAACCTCGGAATCGAAACCGTCTTTAGAGGTGCAACTCTAGATTTACCCATCACTAGGCGAACATCTACATCATTCCTTGAGGTGGTTCTGATGTAAACGGCTGCTCCAAATCCAACCTCAAAGGCATCAGAAAAAACATGGAAGTCAATTATACCGTGATTTCTCGATGGCTTAAGTGGACGTGAGACGGAATGTAGATCCAGCGTTCTTAAACTATTAACCCACCCCTTCCACTCTTCACTGTTTCTCTCACTTAATGGGTCATCCCACTGTAACCCTCTCCTGCATGTCTCTTGAAATAACCTCCTAGCCGGAAGTAGATAAGGTGCTACTAATCCAAGTGGGTCAAACACGGACGACAACACAGAGAGCACGCCTCTCCGAGTAACTGGCTTATCAATATCACCAACACTAAATCCAAAGGTATCAGGGTTCACATCCCATCGCATACCTAATGTGCGTTCGACTGGTAGAGTATCAACAGTCAAATCTCGTACAGTAGGTGCTCTGTCTTCTGGAACTATATGCTTCGAAACGTCTAGACTGTTCGAGACCCACTTAGTTAGACGAAAGCCGGCCTTAGCTAACACTTCAGTGATGCTTGTTGCAAATCTAACTGCAGACTTATCATCATCGAAGGAGGCTAAATAATCATCCACGTAGAAGCAACAATCTATGACGTCCAGTAGATCATTAGAACCAAATGTGGAAACTGCATTTTGCAGAGCGAAATTAGCACAAAATGGGGAGGATGTGGCACCAAATGGATGCACTGTCATCCTATATTCTGACACCTTACCACAAGGACCGTCATCAAACCACAAAAACCTCAAGTGATCTCTGTCACTCTCTGGCACCTTCACCTGAAGGAACATTTCCTCAATATCCGCCGCGACAGCAACTGTAAACTTTCTGAATCTTAACATCAGGCCAACTAATGAGCTCACGCAATCTGGGTCACTATACAGATTATCATTCAAAGAGACTCTTTTATGTTCCGCAGAACAGTCAAACTCCACACGGAGTTTACCTGGCTTCCTCGGGTTAAAGACGGGATGATGGGGCAAATACCACCTCCCTGGCTCACTCTGATCAACTAGTTTTTCAACGTAACCCTTCATTACGTGTTTGTCGACGACATCTTTATATTTGGCCCAGAGGTCTGCATCCATCAGAAACTTCTTCTTTAAACAAATTAGTCTCTTAGGAGCAACTTCTCTATTACAAACTAACTGTCTATCTTTTAATCTCCATGGTAGGCCAACGCTGAAACGCCCATTTTCGTATTTACAAGACTCCTCAACTATTTTAACTGCTTTTAAGTCTTCTACAGAACGACACTTCTGTGGGATACCGTGGTCACAAAACTCCTTGTCATACATATTTCTAATCATAATGATAACATTTTATTTCTGAAACAGAAACCAGCCATTTTTACAAGCATGAACATACGTACACTTATTAGAACTTATAGAATATATAATATGATTTGTTAATTTAGAAATACGTTGAATACTGGTAAATGTGAGAGAAACATTTAAAACATTTATCTGTGGGAATGCACTATACTGCTAAGGCTCCTGAGAACGAATTACTTCAAAAAAAAATTATTAATAAATAAAATAAAAAATAAATGCTGCCTGTATGTCACAGCTTGCGTACAAACTCTTTGAAAAAATCGCTCATGGTACGATTTCTCTACTTCAGGAGGACATCTAACTGTATAAATCAGAACAACAGCATAAATCAGTATTACTATACTTCCTCTTTTCTTTTAGATAACTTATGTACTTTGGCATTTGGATTTCACTTCTTCAGTTATTATTCCCAACATTACCCTATATGAGAGTGAAAACCATAATTCGTTTCGCCCTAATTTTTACTTTTTTTTTATTATTGTTATTCTATACTTCAGTTGTTGTTTACTACTATAAACTTAAACTAACCGTTAGTATGTAACGCTATAAAACTCAATGACTAGAAATTCCTAGTAATAAAAAAGGAGAATAAACACTGCGGTTATCGCATATTGTTTACTTAAATTATCATTATCTGCTGGCTGCTTCTGTTTTCTTCACTTCTCGAAGGTATTGCACTGAAGCACTGCTAATGAACAGTAATCCTGCTTTCTACATTTGTATTACTTGAGCGGTATCCAGAATATTGTTAGCACTTACGATGAACAACGGAACAAATTCCATTCTGAATTCTGTTCAACATCGCAAAGTTAACTTTGCGACCAATTTGTCCCTTTTATCTGATAATACTAATATAATGCTGTACTTACCATCTGATGTGGATTTTTATAAACTTTCGAACTCTTATTGATTGATAAAATGATAAAAATAACGGTCTGGATCCAGTGTGGCTTACTCCAGCACATGTACATCACCTCTCTTCTTACCTTCCATTAACGCAAAATTTCATAATTCCCGCATGAATCTGACTCACTATGAGTGCATTAAATATTATAATTTAGAATTAAACCAAAAGCTTATATTCTATTCTTGTAAAGTTTTCTATTCATTTTCCAAATTTTAATTTCATAAAAGTGTTCAATTTCAGACTGCACTTGTCAAATATGATCATGCCTGTACAAACGGTATGTGAGTCATGTAAATGCTTAATTTATGTGAAATATATATATTATATATTAAAATGAAGTGTACAAATAAGGAAATAGATAATTTTTGAGGTCTGCTTTCGACCGAATAATTCTTAAGATATAGTGTCAAATCTAAACTGTGATTGAAAAAAATATATGTCAATTTCACGCGGGAATTATAAATGATTGCATTAGTTGTGGAAGGTAACATTTTTGCACAGGTGCTGACGTGATACATAAGAGATGCAGAATAAACAATCATTGTCAGTAAATGATTCATAAAGTGTTTCAAAGTCTATAAAACTTTAAATTCACTCGTAAGTACACCATATTTGTGACATTTTCAGTTGTATATGAGACCGACTTTGAACTTCCCAGCCAGCATTTTCTTCGGGCGCATTGCAGACTTTTTGGGGCAAAAAGCTTCTGGTAAATCTACTTACGTGGGACACTGTCCCTAAGTCTGCCCCGAAAAGTCTGCAATGCGCCCTAACTTAATATGACTAACTGCGACCTGGGATAACGTGTCTACGGTTCCTCATTTAACTATTGGTCGACAATTAAATCAGAGTTAAATCTATTCCGTACACAGGTCGTCTCAAAAAAGAACAAACTGGCAGTAGCTCAAAGACTCACATTAACAAAAAGAAGTTGATTTTAATTGAAAATATATTTAATAATCTTGGCAAAAGAATTTACAATCTTTAGATAACTTTCTAAAGTAGAACATCCTATAAATCACCAGGAGAAGTCATCCGTGTGCTTTCGGCGTTGGGTCGGTTTTCTTTGTTGACGTCGACAGTGATCTGAAAAATGAAATTTGGAAAAAATTAAGACCTACCAATGGGGAACGCCGTCGCCTTCTAATCCTCGACTTCAGTCTGTCCCGACTGTTATGGAACCAACGTTGAATTGAAGCCGTGATAGCCTTCACTGTGGTACGTCGGTCAGCATTACCCAGTTTATGTAAACTGCTAATAGTTCCTAGAGAGAAAACGACGAAAACATTTCACCTACGTATCACAAGGTTACACGTCTTCGTGTCCTTGAACTTTTTTTCCTTGGTGCCAGCCCATGAAAAATGCGAGCTGTAGTTCGGCTCCAGCAAGACATTCATTATGCGACCAACGGAGGTTTGCACGTCCCCGTCAACCAAACTAGAAAGATCCGCCGACACATCCTGACGATATTCGTCTTGGGACAGTTTTGCCTCAAACGATGACATGACGGCGTCGCTGTCTAACTGCCGTCTGCCAGAACTCTTTAAAATTTGAACGGAATTGACACACGAGATATTACTGTCAATGCTGTCGACAACGTTGACTAGCGAGAGTTTAGCCTCAAGCTCAGCGAGACGTGACTCCGTTCGTGCCTGGAAGGAGTTTATGCTTGAACGTAAAGCCCTTATCTCTTTCCAGCAACCAGATGTACAAGTACCTGTCTCGTTAGTGCATGGGCACCTGCAAGTAATATTTTTAAATTAAATTAAACTTACATATCCACGGGAAAGGGAATGTGGGCATTTGATGTGGAAGGGACAGACGACAAGCTGAAATGAAATTTTCAAGTTAACTTTAATATACCTTTCATTTTTGTCCGCAATGGGTGGCTTTCGGAAAGGAGGTGTCTCCAACTGAAAATCTGTGTCAGCCAACAACCGAGAAGGGTAGTTCAACGTAGCAGCATTCTCCAAAAGTTTTCTCGGCGGCTTTGAAACACTAGGAAGATGAGTCAAGAATAATAGCTTACCGGTTTACCCTGCATTGGCTTGCAGGCTCCGTGTTTTCAGATGACGAGTCACCCGTTGTTCTTTGCAAACCTTCAATTGCTGTCTTCAATGCAAATGCCTGGTCAAAATCATCTGAAAAAGAACATTATAAAAGACTTGACGTTACTGAAGCGTCCCATAAGGGTGTACTTGTAGGCCGTCGGACTTGAACCCTGAACTACCTCTGCATGTGCAATGGCATCAGCAGATGAATACGAGCGAGGCAGGAGCAAGTATTCACCAGCCACCGCCACCTCGCTAACCACCAACATCTTATTCAGGACAGGTAACTGGACTAACAGGAACTTCTTAGTTATCTGCAAATAATGTACGACTATTAGATAGGAAAATAGGTACACTGGAAGAAGGGAAGTCTTGCAATACGTATATTGATAAGTGCGCACATTATAATGAAGGCAGATGAATGCAAAAGTAAACTCACCATTTAATATTAATAATAATATATACAATAATAATACATAGAATAATAATATATATAATAAGGTACACATTAGGAGATATAGGGATAT